AAGCAGTGCATCTTCCGTCCCTGGAGCATTTCAGTGTATATAAACAGAATTAGGAAAAAAACAACCACCCTACTACCTCTGTAAAGTCAGAACATTGTGAAGTCAAAAGATAGTGATGTGTTCCCCACCGAGTGCTGAGAAGTTTCAGGAACAGCACTTCCCTGGGCTTGGTTTCCTTTGGTAGCAGAAAAGACTGGATAATTATGATGTTGGGTTTTAGCCTTTTTTTGTTTTGTTTTTGCAGTATTTGGGTTTATTTACAAATATACAAGTTGACCATAGGTGGAGTCACACATCTTAAACAGTCCTGCAAATAGAAAACCCCATGTTGAGTTTATTCATTAAGATGGATGCCTGAACAAATCTATATATCAGGAAGGATGCCTACCAAATAAAGATCATACCAAATCAATGCACAAAAGACCTGCCACATCATCCCACTCTGCCTCCTGGTTAGCAGCGGTGATGAAATTGTTGGGAGGTCAAGTAAGTACTGCCACCCTCCACTACTGCCTACAAGTAGAAAATCCATAACCTCATCAGCTGCCAGATGAGAGGCATTTGGTTCCTACAGTGGCCAAACAGATGCTTTTCTCCAGGGGTCTGATGAAGGTATAGATTTGCTTCTTGTAGGTAGAAGCATTAATTTTCCAAACATGTAGTGCTTGACCTACCAACAATTTAATCGCTGCTGCATAGCAGGAGGAAGAGGGGGAGGATGTGGCGTATCTCTTGTGCTTGAATTTTCCAAACTTGCATGTTGATCTTAGAAAACATGTATATGGAGATAAGATGGATTCTGCCAGATGTGGGTGGTATATCTTCTTCCCCCTTCCCACACACATCTGAAACCCTGAAGCATTCATAAGGTGCACAATAAACTCTGTTTTGGAATTTGGTGGGTCCCAAACCTGACAATGCTCCTCTTACACTGCCACTAAATTCCATGAGATACTCCAAAGCCTGACCTTGTTTCTCTTTTAGAAACAAGTACTAGCCTCCAGGGGCAGCTGGAAAGCAGGAGATCTGGGAGTGATGACCAGACATAGGATCATGCCGACATGCCCGTCCCAAGGACTTTAAGGAAGTGCATGATGCTTACACAATGCTCATCTCCTGCTACCTGGAAGTGAGTGGGCCAGGCATGCAGCATCGGGCACCATGGCTAAGCTGGCTAAAGCACCTGTCTAGTAAACAGGAGATCCTGGGTTCGACTCCCAGTGGTGCCTCAGGTATTTAGTATTTTGCCCCCTGTCCATACGAGTGTGGTTCAGCAGAGCTCATAGCACCTTATGCTGCTCACTGAAGGAAGAAGAGAAAAACTCTGACACGCCCTGATGGACATTTGACGTGACTCACTTTCTTTTTGAAGGAAAATCAGAAATTTCACCCATCCCAGCATAAATAAATAAATAAATAAATAAATAAATAAAGCAATGTAAAGTCTTAGCTTGGGATTTGAACCTGGGACCTTTCACATCTTAAGCAAGAGTCATACATCTAGACTAACAAGGTATTCAGGAAGTTCCTCTGCATTTCAGCCCAACTCAACAATTCTATGATTTTATGTTCAACGCAATATGTTACCAAGCCTTCTTGGCAAAAGGGAGCAGATGTTACAAATGTGTGCTTTGTTGCTTCTGCCTTCAGGTAGGAAGTAGAGCAGGTTTGTGGTGTGTGTGTATGTATAGGGGGGCATAGTTCAGCAGAGGAAAACTCCACTCTAGTATGCAAGTGATCAGGGTTCAACACCCAGTGGTGCCATGGGTGCTAACCCTTTTGGGCTCAGCAGGTGGGTGCAGCTGGGTGGGGTTTCCTGAGGGCCTTTTGCCACTCTCTGTGTTGAGAAAAGAAATCCATAAAAGTTGTGAGTTCCTGCCGTGACTCGGGTTCGAACCGAGGTTGCTGCGGCCACAACGCAGAGTACTAACCACTATACGATCACGGCTTGGATGGCACAGCTTTAAGCAGCTTCTAAAAACAAGGCAAGATGCCTGAAGGATAGGTCCATTGTGTCTTGGCCACAGCCTATGTGGAACAGGGAGCAGAAGTGGAGCTGAACAGGCACCATAGCTTAGCTGGCAAAAGCACCTGCCTTGTAAGCAGGAGATCCTGGGTTCGACTCCCAGTGGTGCCTCTGGCTTCCTCTTTTGAAGCAGGGCCCAGGGTGTTCCTATATTATTGTAAGGTATGCCCACCAGCTCTTCCCTGTGACACTGAAATGCCCTGTGGGTCCTGTGTGCAGTGAAAAAGGTAAATCTTGCCATTTGCTGTGACTGATTATGGCGATCACACAGGGTCCCCGGACTTTTACCGGTCTATTGATCCCTGTGCCACCACTGTGCTCGCTTCCCCGCTGCCACCAACCAGTTACTCTCTGGTAAAACACTGAGTCCAGTCAGTTGTTAAAAGTGAACAAAAAAATGCACAAGTTTTTTTACAAACATTAACAAGTTTATGGTTTCTCAGATAATATTCCTGTCAGTATCTTAACTTTAGTTTCTTTACTGGCCTATACCTTCCTAATACCTTCTGCCTGATTATCTCAACTGTTTGACTGACTCCTCTTAACAAATTCTCTTACTTTCTCACACCAGACTAGCCCAACCCCAGACTGTCCCCTCAATAACTCTAACTCCCTAAAAACCTCTGTGCTTAAAACTTATACAGTGGTACCTCGGGTTAAGTACTTAATTCGTTCCGGAAGTCCATTCTTAACCTGAAACTGTTCTTAACCTGAAGCACCACTTTAGCTAATGGGGCCTCCTCCTGCCGCCACACTGCCAGAGCACAATTTCTGTTCTTATCCTGAAGCAACGTTCTTAACCTGAAGCACTATTTCTGGGTTAGTGGAGTCTGTAACCTGAAGCGTATGTAACCCGAGGTGCCACTGTACACAGTTAACTCTGCCCCCTGGGTTCCCATTGGTTAGTCATTTTACAACTGGTTAACCCTTTCCCTATGAATCCAGCATGATGTCACACACATAGGAGGGCAAACGCCACACTGATGCACAGCCAGGTTTTATGGGGTAGGGGGAACCTTCCTTCTCACAGCTGGTTGTGTTGCCATAGACTAGCTGGACAAAAAGTTTCCCCGGGCGATTTCGTGAAGGAATATTAGAGCTGCAGCCATCCCAACAAAAATTGAATCTAAATGAGCAGCCAGTTGTGATGAGAGCTTCTCTGAGATCCCAAGGTAGAATCATTCCAACTGGGGGTCTGTTCTGCATTTCAAATGGTTGCGCCACCACATCCAAAGGGACTTGCCACGAACCTGCCTGGCAGAAGGGAGAACACACTACTAATGAACCACTTCACCCCTTTCTCTTGTTAGGCAGGCTTGCAGGATTAAGTACTGCAGTTATGGTGGCTGAAGTCTGAGTCTGGGTTTGATAGTCAAAGGACCAGTGGCCCTTGCCCTTGAGGTGCATCTCAATCGGGTTTGCAGAAGGCCTTTTCTGACTTCCTGTGGTGAGAAAAGAAATCCACAAAAGTTGCTTGTTCCTGCCATGACTCGGATTCGAACCGAGGTTACTGCAGTCCCGGTGCAGAGTACTAACCACTGTACGATCATGGCTGGGCTGGCATGACCCTCTTCAAGCAGCTGGGTCTTCTGAAAGCAGATAGCTGAAATGTCAGTCTGTAAGTTGCTTGCTCAAAGCTTGTGGCAAGCAGGGATCAAAAGAGATGCTGAGCAGGAACCAATAGCTTAGCTGGCTAAAGCACCTGCCTAGGAAGCAGGAGACCCTGGGTTTGAGTCCCAGGGGTGCCTCTGTTTATTTGTTTTGAGGCAGAACGCAGTGCTTTCCTTTGGTTGCCAGTGGTGCTCAGTGCAGCCACCCTATGGCTGCAGAAGGATCATGGAGATGCCTGCTTGCGTGCTGTGCAAAAGAAACACCCCACATTTTGCAAACACAATGTCTAATGGTGAAACCAACCTTTCTGCTGTGGACAAGGTTTCTCCAGGATTTGACCTTGGATTACTCATACCCTAAACAAGAACCAGACCCCTAGACCAGGAAACAGAGCAGGGGCAGAGGCAACATGGTGAGAGCCGGTTTCCTTGGTGACCACAGGCTCCCTTAATTCAAGTGTGGACACAGCCTCCTGCTCATTTGCAATTAAGGCACTAATGTTCCACTAATGTTCAGGGGCTGCTTTACACCTGTGGGCCTGGCTTGCCACAGGGAGTGCTGTAGCTAAGCTGGCTAAAGTTGCTGTTTCATACGCAGGAGACCCGTGGTCTGATTCCCAGTGGTGACTTGTACAATAATTGTTTTGGCCTAGGAGTGTGGGTGTGGCTCAGTGAGGTTTGCAGAATGCCATTTGCCACACCCTGAGGTGGAAGCATAAATACATAAAAGCCACAGGTTTGTGTTGTGTCTAAGATGTGAACCACAATTGCTCTGACCACAATTCAGAGGAGCAACTACTATAGGGTCATAGCTGTGCCAATGTTGTCTCTCCCCCTGTCCTTATCAGTATCTAAGTCTTCTGAGGGGAGGGTGGTGTGTTCTGGCAAGAAATCACAAGTTCTCGAAATCCTTCCTGGAAATAGGAAGCAAATGTTGCAGATGTGCTGCTTAGCTTCTGTCGTCTTGTAGCAAGTGGACCAGGCTTGCAGTTCTCTCTCTCTCTGCGTTTAAGTGGCGAAACCTCCACTCTAGTAGATGATCACTGTGGCAGTTGCTAATGGTGCTTTGGATGCTAAGCCTTTTGGATCCAGAAGTTGCATGCAGCTCATTAGGACCGACAGAAAGCGTTTTACCACCCCCTGAGGTGAGAAAAGAACTCTGCAAAAGTTGGGAGTTCCTGCCGTGACTCGGATTTGAACCGAGGTTGCTGCGGCCACAACGCAGAGTACTAACCACTATACGATCACGGCTGGGGTGGAAAAGCTGCCTTCAAAGAGCTTCTAGAAGGCAAGGCAAGATGACAGATCAGCCTATTGCATCTTGCTTAGAGCCTGTGTGGAGTAGGAAATAGAACTGCTAACCAGGCAGAATAGCTTAGTTGGCTAAAGCACCTTCCTTGTGAGCAGGAGATCCTGGGTTCGACTCCCAGTGGTGCCTCTGGCTTCCTCTTTTGAGGCAGGAGCAGAGTGCTCCCATTTTCTTGCAAGGCCTACCCACCAACCCCTCCCATGTTCACAGAAACAACACGTTGTTCCTGTTTGCAGTGAAAAATATAATTTGTCCTACATAGTCCCCATGCTATCTAGAGGCATATGATTTTGTATATATACACTTTTTCTCCTCCAGATATTGACTGTATGTGCAGAAGATGGGGTGCTGGTCTGCTGTGCACATGATTTCACTGGCTGCATTATTAGGTGGAGGCCGTCGTCTCCTCCATGCATTTACACTGCAGTGAAGCAGCCTTCTGATGGAATAAAATCCATAGCTACATTTCTTTTTAAGGGGAGGGCAGGCTTATAAATGTTTGCTTTGGGATACATGTACTGTTCTGTGTTGTATGTTCCTCCTTGTTCCTTGAACCTTCCTAAAAGCAAAATGGTAAGAAAATTGTTTTTTTAAATATACCCCCCCACACACCAGAGAGAGATTAATGTGGCATTCAATAGGAAGAGGCAGAGCAAATGTCTTCGAAGGCAGCCTTTTTCAGGGTTTTGCCTTTCTCATCAATACTTTTCAATCTATTTGGCTGAGAGGCATAGCTCTTCAAAGGCCCTCAGTCACCCCAACCTCACCTGAAGGGTGCAGTCTTTGTGCCAGCACCCTTGTAAATTATTTCTTTTATTTTGCTTTCCAAAGCGTAATTGTTACTGAGCAGAGCCTCTCTCCTATTGCTGTAATTTGAAATGCCTCTGAAAGGGAAATTTAAGGGCTGTGGAATGTTGCATAAATATGATCACCCAGCAATCAAGCTTTTCAAATACAATAGCTTGCCTCTGATAGTTCCTGTCGCTTTGTTTCATACTTCCACAGCGCTTTAAGGCTGCATCTCCACTTCAGAACAAACCTATGTTCAGGGACTCAGGTATTATTTCCTCCCGCAATCAGACCACCTTTTTTAAAGCTGTAGGACCTTATCCATGCTGATCTTCAGTGTGAATAGTAAGATTCCTGGACCACCATTATTTTTTTGTTATTCGTATAATGTTCTCCCAATCACTGCCTCCCAACCCCCCCTCAGGATATCCTTTTCGAGTATCCTTGTTTGAGAAAATATGGTGCTATAGGAAGCTTGCTATCCACATTAAACACCAGAATGGACGAACCCATAGTCACAAGGAAGCAATGACTGCTGTGCGAATTTGTATTAATGGACAATTTTTATTTGTAAGAAAGAAAATGCAAGGCATGGTTGGCATTCAACACTAGCCCTACTCAGAGTAGACACAGCTAACTTGATTCATTAATTTCAGTGAGTCTACTCTGAGTAGCTTTGTTTACTAGAATCCTGTATCTTTTTATCTATTTTTTATTTTTTAAAATGTGTTTTTAAAAAACAAGCAAAGCCTTTGTTGCTTTAGTAACTAGTTATCTCGTTCAGCACGGTGCTGTAAAGCTGATAGTTTTCTCCTCCCTTGTTTGATCCCTTGTACACCCACACTCATTCTGTTCTTACTCAGTAATGAGAGGATTAGTCTGCCTATGGAAAAAGGGCTCAATTTTTCTTCTTTTCAGCCAAAACAATTAACTTGCTACTCAACTGCAGCTGAGCTCTTTCGCTCTTCCAGAACAATCCTATATATAATCTTCTGAAATGTAAGTCCTGTTGAGTTCAATGGTACTTACTCCCACTCAACTAAATATAGGATTGCCACTTTAAAAGATTGATGCAATTTATATGTCCGTCACATGTATACATTGGACTGCCACTGGAGCTTAATTGGAAGCTCATGGCCAACGTGTTGCTGTCACTTGAAGTAGCTGCCCGATTTCTCTTCCTCTGCTCGCCCCACATAATATTTGGGCCATAGTATGGTGGTCCCTGGGAGGCCATTCCGGGGGATGGAGGAGAGATGGTGGAGATAAAGGAGCGGGAGATCTGACCCAATAAACGTCTTCCATGAGATTGTGCTCCTCTGATGTCAGAGAGAGCAAAAGGGATAAAAATGGGGGACAACTTACGCTAGCCCTAGGCAGTGTATTGAAAACGTGAGAAGTAACTGTAAAACAGACTAAAATAATCAGCAAGGCATTTAGATTAATTACAGGAGGACTGACTTTCAGGCTGACAGTGCTTTGTGTCTTCCAGTGGAGTTTTGTGTTCTTGTCCTCTGCTTCCGGGAAAAACTCTGCTACAAACAGTAAGAAGTGGTTTTACTGAGGTGCCACCACACAAGCAGAAAAGCACATCAGAAGTGTGTGGGCGGTAACCTCTAATATTTTGTACTTTTAAAAGGCCATATGCCAGATCAAGCAGGGCAAATAGTAGCAATCATAACTAACAGCATGGCCTATGTGCTTAGGTTAGGACAGGCGCTGAGCAGATACTGCAGCACCTCTGCTCAGAAATGAAGCCCACCAACCCTCCCCCCTCTCTCTTTCTTTCTTTCCTTCCATCCTACCATCCCATCCTTCCTTGGCATGGAAGTTCAAAAGCTTGCAGTACCTTCATCAAATCATAACAAAGAGGCTTGTGTCCCCTTAAAGACTAGCATCATCATTATGGCATAAGCTTTTCTGGACTACAGTCCACTTCATCGGATGCGCAAAATGTCATCCTGAGATGTGGGTGTGTACAGATGGTGATAATTGCCTTATTAACAGTGGCTATTTAACAACAGCAACAGCAAAGTTGTGCTGATATCACAGATAGCCTGGAATAGGTAACCCAGTTAACACATGAAGTTTGATAGAATTCTATCGTGCCAATTTAATCTGCACCTGCCAACACTGAACCTCTCGATGGAATGCGAGTCAAAGGTTTCACTTTCCAGTCTCTCTCTGAAGTGCTTTTGTTCGAGGGTGGTCATTTACCGTGTGGCCTTGGGGACAGAAATAATAAAATAATTATAATAGAAACAAAATAATCAGAATCAGCTGTCCTCTCCCACAATAGCACTGTAACACTGTGCTTGATGCTGTCTTCAGAAATGAAAGATGGGACACTTTCTGATGATAGTGTAACACCATTTTTAACATTTGGTTGGAATCTTTTATTTGGGTCCTTCTGACTGCTCCTCCCCCCTCCCTGTAATTTAAACAAATCAAGGTGTTATGCATCTTAGTTCTGTGTATCTCTCAATAACTCACAGGGAGGCAATTTAAGATAGATTGTTTCTTGAGGGAGTACATCTCCGAGACACCTAATTCAGATAAAATGGCCTAATATTAGAAAGTAATCCAAAAATGCATTTCATACAGGCAATGGGGAAAGCTTCTGCCTTTCCATATTTGCATAGTGAGAAAGCGCCCCCAGTCCTTTTTTGATCACTGAGATATTGTTTTGTAAACGAAACTCCTGTGAAATGCCATCCTATTAACAAATGAGAAAAAGCCTGTAAAAGCAGTTGAAAGGCAAGGCAAATAATAGTGTCCAAGGGAAAAATTAATCTGAATAGTTTAAACGCAACAGAGGCGCTGGGCTAGCTCCGCAGTCGACGGCAAGAAGTGGCTGCCAGGGAGCCAGATGCAAGGGCAGTCGAAAACATTTTTCACCACTTGGCTTTGGGCTCCTATAATTGTCACTGGCAATGGAAAAAATCCAGTGTGGTTAAGTATCACCACAGGATATAGAAACCGATGACTTACAAACAGAGAGCATTTTAAAAATAAGTCAGATTTGCTTAGGCAGAGCTGAGCCAAAGGAGAAAAGTCAGTGCAGGTTTTCTTATGCAGAAAAATAAGGCCTGTTCTTCTAATAAGTAGCTGTTGGCCACCCTTGGACTGTCAGTATTTTGTGGGAGGGATTCAAGAGCATACCAGGAAATTTAGTTTTATGCAATTAAAGTGGATTAAATCTCTCTGGTGCCCTAGAGCATAACAAATCCACTTTTACAAGAGACAGGCATTTTGTTGTTAGAAAAGTGATGGGGAAATGCATTGAAAAGTGTGGTGTGACACACTGTCAGGGACAGCTCAAGACATTATGCTACGTGAGGTGAAGGGCAAGCTGGTGCCCTCCCCTAAGACACATACAGAAGCCAATTGGATTGGCAGTTGAATCTTACCCCAGTACTGGTGAAAGGAAAGTATCTCCCACTGTACTTGAGGGCAGCAGGCTATGGTAGGGGATACAGGGAAGGCACTCACAGCTCTGTCACCCCCCCTCTCTTCAGCTTCTGCCACCTGAGGCAGCTGCCTCAGTCTGCCTCATCATAGAGCCAGCTCTGCGAATGATTTAAGGGGGAGACATGTAAACACCCTGCAAGCAAATCAGATTATACAAGTTCCTAGCATCAGAATAAAGACAAGGCATTTCCCCAACCTGAACTTTGTCCATTTGACTTTTGAAAAAAACAACAACATGCTGGCCAGTGTTCCAAGTTCCTCCTATTTATAACTTTTTAGGAGAGAAAAAAGCCACACTTTTCATGTGGCTTTTCTCTGAAAAGTCAAAACAAAACAAAACTATGTTGTTTCTGTAATAGGGAACACAGAGAGACTCAGCAAGCCTAGCTCATTGGCTCAGTACTCCCCTCCTTCCTCACCGCAAATGCAAGACCAATGTCTCCTCCCACTCTTTTCCCTATGGATGGATTCATTCTCTGTAGGCAGTGGTAGTACCCATGGGCCCTGTATTGTTCTTGCTTAACTTTTGAAACAGGTGCTTCATGGTTACTGTGGCCAACATATCTTATATTAGGACTAGGGATGGGCAGACCTGTCAATTTTGGGTTCTCTCTGTTTCTCATTTTTCTAACCATAAGTTCACATATCCACATCAGTTTACATCTTTCTTTTTTTTAAGTGCACAGAAAAGTCACCAGCATTTTACTGTGAATTTCTCCCAATGTACACATTTCTGCAAAGCTCCCCCCCCCCCCACTGAATGATTTATTTTCACCAATATATGCATACTTATGCACACTTTACTCTAATATATACATATTATTTGCCTGGAGAACTGCATTGCAAAATTAAGAGAAATGTGAATTTCA